AGTAATTTGGACCGGAGGTAGCTAGTAGATTAAATAAAAAATACTAAAGATGACTAAGAGGATTTTTTTTTTTTTTTTTTTTTTGACAAAGAGGAGTGTGCATTTGTGTAAACTAAAATAAACATTGGTATGAATAGTACCAATTACTTCTTCATCAACTTACTGTATTTATTTATTTATTAATTTATTTTTTATTTATTTTTTAATTTTTTTTTTAATTTTTTTTTTTGACAAAAGCAAAATCAAACTAATACAAACTACATCAAAACACTTAAATGATGAGCTAAACTAGCTCTTACAAACCAACATAAGCAATAACAAAAACTTAAAAACTTCTTGTTTGAAGGATTTCGGTTGCTTGAAACCAAATTCACTTGGCTTGGATCATACTTCAGAGTCGTTGCAAGAACTAGTAGAGCACTTGAGAGAAGGACGGAGTAATTTTTGTTGTTGATGAGCAAACCACAAAGGAGACTAGGATTAACAGCAAAAGGGTTGGTAAAAGGGAAGTGTCAAATATTAAGTAATAATTTTTGTACTAAATGTCAAAACAAATCTAAAACATGTGAAGTACTCCTAAATAATTAAGCTGATTGACAACCACATTTTTGTTTTAAATCTTTTTCATTGTACCATGGATTTTTATTTAGGCAAAAGCTAATGAGCGTTTCCGGGGCGTTAGATAAAAGAATTAAAGTGCAAATATTAGAGTAAAATTAACATTAATTACACCGAACGACGTGTGATTTTGTCATGAATTCCTAACTTAATACCATTTCAACCAATATAATTTATCCTTATCTAACGCCCCGGGGCGCTCGTTAGCAAGATCGATTTTTACTTAATATTTGGGTTTATCCTCAGTATACGATTTTAATCTATTACCACTCTGTTTATTTTAAGGAAAATTTGCAAATTACCACCCAAAAATAGTTCCATTTTCTAAATAACCACCCATTAAAAATTTTATCTTAAATTACCACCCACTAAAATAATTAATTACGCAGATTACCACCTTTTTAAAATTTCCGGTTGATTTCAGGTGTGTGGGGCCCACAGTCATTATTTCCCTCCTAAATTTTTTTATTTTTTGTCGATTTCACTATTATAAGCTACTCAAATACTTAAATATGAGAATCACCTTATTCTCTTCCATTTCTGCCACAATAATTCCAACAACAAATAAACATAAAAGCTTAAAACATGCTTCAACCAATACTAACAGTACTTAATTGAGTGTACAAATTGCAAACACAACTTACCCAGTACTAACAGCAATTCAATGACAAAAAACCTAAATTGGGCAAAGAACATGAACCCTAAATAACTAAACACTCAGTTTCCCCCAATTTAATAGGAAAAGAATCCTAATTTGCGAAGAAAGTAAACCCTAATCAACTAATCAGCAAGTCTTCCCCAATTTAAGCACAATAAGAACCCTAAATTTAAAGAATGTCATAGGTTACCTGATGCAAATTCACCTCTGAGGTTTCTTCAAAATGCTACAGCAATTACAAGGGAGTGAAATTTGAGGAATTTTTGAAGTACAAATCGCAAATTAGGGTAGGAGAAATGTTATATAGGGGAAAATCGGGGGGAAATTCATTTGGGAAGGAGAAACTAGCCGTTAGGAGGGCCCCACTCATCTGAATTCCACCGGATTTTGAAAAAAAGGTGATAATCTGCATAAAAAATAATTTTAGTGGGTGATAATTTAAAATAAAATTTTAAATGGGTGGTTATTTAGAAATTGATACTTTTTTGGGGTGGTAATTTACAAATTTTTCTTATTTTAATGAGTAATCTCACTAAAAAGTCGTTACTATTGGTCAGTCTTAACAATTTAAAGTTTCAACGCGTTTGTGTTTTTTCAACGAAATGAGTAAATTAAAAGAGTGATTAAAATAAGTTAATCAGTGTCTTAAATACTACAAATGGGTGCTGATCATTGCCAGCAATCAGGTGTTCTGCAACTCCGCTCTTCACATGGGACTGCTGGATTCTACTCAATTTGCATCAACTTACTTGATCGATTACCTTCCATTTCTTCATCTTCTTTTTACATGCAATTTGATCACAAGTATGAATCAATATTATTTCCGTAATTTAATTGATTAACAACCTATTATGTTTAGCTTAATTTCAGTTCAGTCCAGTTCAGTTGAACTCCAATCATTTCATTTCAGTTCATTTCAGTTCCTAATTTCCTTCTTTCATAAACAATTCATTTTAGCTTAGTTTAGTTCAGTTCAGCAAATCGGAACATGCCCTAAAGGTGTGTTCTATTCACCTGTTTTGTATTTTGTACTTAACTAGTTATTTGAACTATTAGACTCTGATTTAGTATTTTGTTCAGTAAATCTGAACTTATTTATGTGTATTTAGTTATAATTTGTATTTGAATAACTCTTATCAGAATTTATTTTTTCTAAACCTATCTTGTCTGAACTTAACTGAACCTATCTGAACTTATATTATTAGATCTAAAATAAGTGAAAATAAATAAGGTGACCAGAATAGGCCTTAAATTAATTGAAATTACTTGATCAATCATTTGATATGATCTTACTAAAATGTTCTATAGAAATCTCAATCATGTTCATCACTCTTTTTTTAAACCATTGTATGGAATATTGATTAATTAGGTTATATCAATGTATCCATCACTTTATAACATTAACTATTTAACTCGATGAAAGCAGCTTTAGGCATATTATTATAAAAGTTTTGACATATACCCTTAATTTTTAAGTGTCTTAAATCTCTTAATAATTTCCACGGTTTGTTCATTTTGGTTAGATATCACATGTAATCTACTACGTATATGATCATTTTGAGGCTTAAAATTAAAAACACCAATCTAATGACTTGCTTCTCCATAAGTTATAATTTAAAATGCAAGAAAATTAACCCAAACATCAGCCCTTTCTGATGTTACCCATAAAATTTAACAAGAGGTAGGAGAAGATTAAATAAACATTCAACAGTTCAACACGAAGATGACATTAATTATAACGTACAAAATACCCTATTCACTTAATTTATCAAATAAAAACACAAGTACCCCAAAGAAAATTTTTATAATTATAAAAATTTAATAAAAAAATTTAACCTTAATTAAGTCAGTTAATCAACCGAAGACCCCTTGTTGTGTTAGGTCATGCATGACCTAAAATATAGTATAACATGAATCACGACGCCTAGGAAACATGCACTTCGATCTGATAGCTTCTGCTTAAAGCCTCAAACATACTATTAACACGAATAATTAAGCCAATTAATCAACCACTCACATTTTTACAGGTGGACTAACTATTATAATAATGTGAAAAGTAATGACCTCTAAGCGTAATACAGCTAGTTTATTAATTAACATTGGTGAATTAATTATCCTAGAATAAAATAACAATGTAATGCTATGTTTCCTACATTGAAGACATACGACATGAAGTATGGAAAGAGGCGGAAAAATGATGGCTAAAGTCTAAGCGGTTAATCTAAGATATAGATTTATTATTTTTTTGTGAATGTGTACTAATTAAGATATTAGTAAGTAAGATTAGAGTTATCATAAGATTCCTACTAATTTAATGTCATTTAGCTCACAGAAAGGACACTTGATATAAGTCTACTTATGAGTATATGACTTATTGAAAGAAGTTAGAGACACTACATAAAATTTTAAGTAAATGAGCTGGTACGTTTATGAAGGACTTGTTTACATGTTTTGTTGAATTTCTTTTGAAGCTTGAATTGTCTGTTAAGTTAATAAAAAGATTGAACAAAAATGTTAAACTCGTTAAGTAAATGGACCAAGCGAAAACAAATTCATGCTTGCCTTGTTAATTTTCATGAATAACTCTTTAAGTTCATGTATAAGTTTATTTATATTCAATTATAAAAGCTTACTCAAACTTTTTTTTTTTTAAAAAAAATAAACCTTGCATTTTATAAGGAGTCTAAACACAATTGCATATCTTTATGGGAAATTGAAACTTAAAAATTGTATTGTACAATGAACACAAGAAATTTTGACCATAAGTTTTATAAAGATAACGAAAATTTTTAATTAGATTAAACGGATGCATGAAAAGTATAAGATTTTTGTAAAGGCAACTCAAGGCTCTTTAATTTAATCAAAATTTAAAGAATTTCCCTAAAATCATGTTTTACCTAAGGTTTTCCATGGTTCGATAACTTTTCTTAAGTCGATCTGAATTCAATCCAAACAAAACCTAATTTAGATTTCAAATTATATGGACACAATAATTTTGCTAGACCTTACCTCACTAAACTCGACCCAAACACCTGAATTGACACCTCTATTCTTGAGGCCCACTTACGTGTTCAAAAATTTTGATTTAAGCTTGTTAAAGCTTTGGCTTAAATTTGAAATGCAATGCACACTGCTCACGTTTGTGAACTACTCAAACAAGGCAAGCATGAACAAGAAATTAAAAAAAGCTTGTTCAGAGCACAAGCTATCTCCAACTATTATAATCCTTACCAATCGTAGCTTGATTAGACTAAACTAAATTTGATTCTTTTGCAGCTAGATCTTGCTAAGATGGCAAGCCTTGCGTATAGTATGGACACACTTGAACTCCAGTAGGAAGTAGCAATTAAGCTTGTCACGGCCAAACCTTGGCCAAGCTAACAAGCTTGTAGCATGGTCAGACCGTCCGATGGTCGAATATAAGATCATGCAGTCCGTTTATTTTGCTGACGATAATATGAAATGTTATAGGTTTAAAAGCTCCCTTAGTTCATCAGTTGGGTTATTTGCATCATATTTTGAAGTGGGGTGGGAGAATCAATTCACAATGTATTCAATTCCACAACAGCAAAACTTGATGCGGATGGTTTGATTGTTAGTCAAGATATTACAGTTCAAGAAGTGTGCCTTATTGCACCTGCTGCTTGTGTTACACACCATATCGCTGCACACAAAGAAACTTATTGGCAAGGTCCTCGGTCAGAGCCATTTCCAGCATCCACACTATTAAGCAGTATGACATTTATTTTAAGATGGAAAAAGTGTAATCTATTCAAAAGTAGTGTTCATCGAATCAAAATATTACAAACTCAGAAGCAAACCTATATGAAAGCAAAAAAAATCTAGAGTAAATCAGAATAAGATAAAATTATTTTTCTATACCAGCTAATCAGTGCGGAAAACTACTGCTCTAATGCCAAAAAATCGCTGAATTTCTCAATGTTACAACAAAGATTTCTCTGAAGTCCCTAGGATGGCCAAGTATGCAACTACCAAAGTGGAATACCTTCGAAATTTTCAGAAAGACAGATGCTTTGGAACCTTAGCCTGATGGTTAAAGATGTTCAACATTACTTTTGAGCTCTGTACAGCATCGGCCTTTAAAGCACTGCCATAATCAACCAAACATTTGGTCGAGTTGGAAAGACAGCCGGATGAATTGGCAACTCAACTTTCGGTAGTAATCAACTTTCCCAACCATCTGTCATGGTTAAGCATTGCGCTTGCACTATCAACCACCAATACAATCTGAAACAACAAAACAAGATATTTAGAATTTTTTCAGGAATAAATGAATAATCAGCTTAGCTAGGTTTTTATCATCAGGAGTCTGGACAAATGGGTGTAAATAAGAAAAAAAAAATAAAAATCATAGAGGCACTTGGCTAAAAGAGAAAGTGACTGTTCCCATAGGTCATAACACTAATATAACATTAAGACAATGCACGCAGAAAAAACAAGTAAACAGTTAAAACCACCTAGTATGCACTTGAACCCACTTTCCATTTAAACACGCAATCAAAATGTTTAATATAATGACAACTAGAAGCATAATTTTATGAGTACATACTTCAAGGCACACTACGTAGGACATGGTCGATTTATAACACAGGCTTGCATTTAATTTTCCGTTGTTAATTGTATTGTCAATTTCAAGTCTAAGTTGATAATGATAACAAAACTACCAGTCAGGTACGAAGACAGGGGAGAAGGCCGAAATGAAATCAGTGTATAAGGGGCCACCCACCCTCTCTCGCTTAACCTCTCACTTCCTAAGGAATGAGGGGCCACATCTAACTCTGGAAAAAAGAATATTACTTTGGGTATGATTTAGAAATAAGAAGGGCATTAAAGCCTCAATATGTTGTAATTCATTCACATATTCAAGAAAAGATAGTTTGATAAAAAAAAAAAACTAAACTTACTCAATGTTGTACAGTAGACATAAGCCGCAGGGGCATCTTCCCTTATCAGAAACATTGCGCTCCAAGAATTCAATTAAAATGGGGGGAGAGAGGAGGGGGGGGGCATAGAAAATTCTAAAATTTATAAGCAGAGTTGTCATAATCAAGAAAGCAAACCTGGAGAGCAGCATAAGCTATGGCAGTTGCATAGTAGAAGTTTGCATTCCCAGTTCCCTGTCAGAACGATCCAGTAATTACTAAACGACTCTCACACTAAGGTAGTGGATAGCATGAGAGGTAAGTTAAAAAAAAAAAAAAAAAAAAAAAAAAAAAAAAAAAAAGCGTACCCTCCATATCCAAAGATTGTGCATAACAGGACTCAAGAGATTAACACCAACATACCCACAGAAGAGGACAAAAGAGAAATGCATCTCTGCAAAAAAATGAAACAATTTACTAATTCACGTCCACTTATATTTAGAGAAGAATAATTGACAGATTTATGGACTTGCCTGCTAATTGATTGATAAACAAGCCAAACAAACCAATATACAGAGCGGAATCTGCAACCTGAACAATATCAAACAAGAAATAAACCGGTGTAGGAAACATTAGGTACACATAGTATGATAGTAGAACTAATAACATGTCTGAACAAATAACTGTTTTTTTTTTTTTTTTTTTTAAAATAAATTAGTAGTTCTCATGTAATGACATTTAAATTGGGATTGATGTGTCATTCTAGGTGTTGTTTTCAACAAGGCTAGACAGACCAAGCTTGTGTTTACCATTTCTTCTCCATCAAATTCTCAATGACTTTCTTCAAGGTCAAGTGAACAAAATATACTATATAGTACTACGTATAATCCATTTTGGACAGGTTTAACAAACCAACTTCATTCCAGAGTTATGGTACAAAAGAATTTATTTTTTTTAAAACTTTTACTGGTCAGCCAAATTAGCTTACTGGCTATCACCCAGCTCAAAAAGCATTCATGAAACCTTTCAGCACTCAAACTATTATAAGGGCATTGGGAATCAAAGACTTGCTGTAAGCACTGAAACTATTAATGGATAAAAATTCTTTATTCAGCTGAAATTGTAATTGCAGAACCTTGAATGGTCTCTATCTAAGCACATCAAACCTAGCAAAACGAAAATACTCTTCCAACACATTGCAATTATAAGGTCAGGCTCGTCAGCCGCATTTCTATACAGCTATTCTGCAAACCTGCAGGAATACACCCCTCTATCCTTTCTGCAAATGCATCATCTACTTAAGGTTGAACCTAAACTCGCAAACAGAAATTCTAAACAGATATCCAAGACAAGATGATCACGAAAGCTATATCTGATATCACAGCATGCAAGTTTTGACTTTGATTATACATATCATTCCAAAAGTTCAACTATAAGCACATGACAGACATCTTTTGCCACCCCTGAACAAACTTTAAAGATTTAACAATTTAAAGGTTGTCAATTAAAGATGGGTTACTTGAGTAAAACACCAAAAGATAATTAAAGATGGGTTACTTACTGATGGATAAGTCTTCAGCATTGAATAGATTGCAACATAGACAAAAGCCAAGAAACAAGGCCGATGTTTCATCCGTATGGCCAATGGCAATATCATGAAGAGAATGTTCATGTGGATCACTAGCAGGAAAAAGTTTCTGAAAAAATCAAAAACCTCTGCAAAGAAGTACCTGCAGTTAGCATATCAATCAGATTAGCATTGTCACAACAAGACTTAAAAATCAGCTGAGCACTACCCCTGTATCTCCCCAACTGTCACTCACCATAAAACACCTATATTTGGAGACAAATCTTCCACTGTCAGAATAAACCCATAGGTCCTGCAGAAATACTCAAACAAGTCAAACCACCATGTGGCTATAACCCTTTTTATAAAACACATTGCATCAAATTATAGTTCAAGAAAATAAGTAACAGTAACATTCTTCCCACTGTACGACAGAGTTTGTCCCAGTCAGATTTGCACAAAGATTAAGATTAGTGGGGAAAATTAATAGTAATAGGCTTTAAAACATAGACTAATAAAGGACCGTTAGACATCCATTCTACCAATTTTACATATACCAAATATAAAGTGATTTAAAAGCATACATATCACACCTAAGTTGGAGGCAAGAGTGGTAAGTGACCACTGTAGATTTTAAAAGGGCACATGTTGCTCAAGCATGACACTAGAGAGGTCTTACTGATACTTCGCGTTTAGACCAAAACCCAGCTAATAGTAGTGATCTTGAGGTAAACTTGTCACAATAAGAAGTCATTTCTAAAAAGAATTTGTTTGCAAAAGTAACTATGCAAAAAAAATTCTAAGAATATTCAGCTTAGTCGAAATGTATGAAAGCAAGGATCATAAATAATAAATCATCACATAATCAATCAACTAAAACAATATGCAGCATTTATTGGTTTTTTATTTTCAAGGGAGAATCAATATTCAACATTGTCTCTCATGTTTGCTTCAGTCTACTTAATAGTTGGAAGAGGCAGATTTGAAAACAAAACCAAAGTCCTATCCCAAAAGGTTGGCCCATGTGCCACCATGCCATGCTTGCGTACCTAAGTCAAATTTCCCTTATTAACGTGCTCTGTCGTGCCTAATTGTGTTTATTCCAAATAAAGGCAGCCCACTCTGGCCCATGGCCTGGTACACAGTAACGCGCCTATACTGTGCCCATGTTGTGCATTTTATTTTGTGCTAAGTTGTGCCATGCCTCAGTCTGGCCTGGCCCAATGTGATCTTTAGGTCGACTACATGAAGCAAAAAAATTCAACAATCATGGTCAACCATGAAGAACCCTCTTTCTCCATATGCTTCGATCTAGTGCTACATGCTCTAATCCCACTGTATATCTGTCATTCTTAACTCCTTTTATTTAAGAACCCATGGCCTTGATTGGTTGATTGATTGACTGATTGGCCATTCATGGCTTCGTTTGAAGTTTCCATCTTCCTAAACAGTGCACCCTCTAGTTGATATCTCACATGGAAGCCAACTTTCTCTTATTTTATCCTCAATATCTGTAACTCCAACTTTTCTAGGAATCTCATTCCTAATGGCTAATTCTATCCTTCAAAGTGTTTCCCACGCATCTATCTCAACACACACCTGAATATTATGCTTCCTAAATACCCAATATTCTGACCCATATAGTAATGTCAGTCTAATTGCTGTCCTATAGTAAAAATATTCTTCAAATCTTAAAGGCAAACTACAATCGCAAACATAATACCATTGCTCCAATGCCTCAGTAACGGTTTCTGCCTAGGGCAGGATGAGGAACATATATATATATATAAGGCTTTCCCCTAAAATTACAGAGAGGATCTTTTAGCCTCATCCTTACAGTTGCAAGGATTTCTGTGTCCCAAATGTAAGTAGACTAATAGTTTGAAAGGGAATAATTGAATAGAAAGCAGATTTATCAAGGGAATCGGTCATCATATTAGAAGGGAAAAGAAGAAGAAAAACATAATCTAAATGAGACTCCTAGTAAAGAGTACAATAGCATAGAATACCATTGCCCTAATGCCTCTCTATAACAGTTCCAGCCTATGGCAGATGGGTGACACACTGACACATGTATACATGCTTCCCCATACAAATACAAAGAGGATCTCATAGCCTCATTCTTATAACTGAATATAAATGGTTTCTTGCACTCTTATGATAGAAAACTCATTTACTTTTAGATACCTTTTAAACATCTCTTGTAAACCACCATTCAGTCCGACAGAGATTCCACACAAAACGAGAATATATACTGACCAAGCTGACGCCCATAACAGGAACAAAATTACTGGCTTCCATGTAAAAGAAGGTAATGCTGAACCGGATTTTAGTTTGACATGCTGCAAGCTACTATCACCAGAATTATTTGCACTGTGTCTGGAAATCTTCTGCAAGAACAATTTCTTCGGAGGAGCATCTGGACCGTAGCCTAGCAAGAGGATCACCTAGAATACATATATGCTCACTTGAAATTTTAAATAAATGATCCCCAAAGAAGTGAATCATGTTTACTTCTAACATTGAGATAGCCGAGGAGTCAAGGTCAAAGAAAAAGATAATACCGGTATAACAAGAACTGCTGGATATAGTGATATATGAGTTGCCAATACCCATCCAACGGCAGCCAGAGGTATTAATCCTGCATCAATTTTTTCAACATGTTCAACACTAATGGAACCACCAAGAAAGAGATACAAAAAAAAAAAAAAAAAAAAAAAAAAGGAAATTTGAAGATTTTAATGTCTATAAAAGATAATCTACAATTGTCTCATGTAAAGAAAATACAAGTAAGATGAAACAAGGATAGACGATAGAGATGTAGGATATAGAGCCAGGCAAAAAAAAGATTAAATTCAATGGTCAATTAAATAAAATTCTTGACACTACTAAATTTGCGTGAACACTCAAATATTTCATTTGGCACCAAAAGCACATATAAATACTTGTGCACCCAAGTCTAAATAATGTAGATGTCAATAGTCTGAACTGCAAGGATGACAGTGAACCACGAGATTACAACAATTAACATATGAGTAGGTTTACAAATAAGGCAATATTATCAAATCACATATGCAACATTACAAATCGGTGGGGCTTCAGGGCCAATAATCAATATAGCAATCTACTGCATACATAAGAAAAAAGACAAACAGCTTGTATAGGATAAAATGGTTGGTGTCTTACGCATACATGCTCCATAAATAGACAAAATCACGAGCAAGTTCTCAATGGGAGATGTCGAAGATCCCACACATGTAAGAATCGTCAAAGGATTCCATAGGTAAAATAGAGCTGAAATATCCCCAGAAGCATAAATTTCTGAAAGGATAAACAATTTTACATTTAGTTAGTTCACTGCTCACTGAGGTATGGTAAAGTAAAGACAGATCACAGAATGATAATTTACATGTAAACAAAAGAGAAAAGTTGGGGGTTTGATCCCTCCTTGCCTACAAGGACACAACCGATTCCAAATGGAAAAAGAACCAAAACCCCCGATTTGGCTAGGATAATCCCACTTTAGTTTAAGGGGATGAGGTAGACTCCATTGTCTTGACCATCTTATTACGTCTAAAGGACTTCTTAGTTCTTACAGTTAGACAAGGAATAGAATACAGATTTTTTTTATTACGATTTACAATAAGATATACAAATAATGAGGTCATTAGTCTATCCTTTCCGACTAAAAACTTAATATATAACAAATACAACAATCTCCACTTCAAAGATCCAATGGCACAGAGCATAGGGAAGAGAGAAATGCTTGGTCAAACTCTAGTCGTTATAACTCAGATAACCCTAATACTAATTGATACATGCATGTTTGTGTTGGAGTGGAATCCCCCACTTGCCCACAATTAAACCATAGGAAATGCAACAACACCATCATAGAGAAGCTTTTCCTGAAAACAAACTGTTGCAGGAAGCTGCAACCTTTTGCCCTCTTGATCACAGAACAATATCAATTTAATCAGGGGTACGAATCAATTTAATCAGGGAAGAACATCTCATCAAATGACAGACCCAAGTATCTAGGTTTTTTTTTTTTTTTTAAACCACTCAAGTATCTAGTTTATATACACCCTTAAGGCTTTAAGAATAGGAGAATCCATGCAACATAGACAAGCTGCCCAGATGTTTTTACTTTTTAGCACACCACTTGAGATAGGGAATAACATGGTTGCAGATTACTTGCATACTCTTTAACCTTATTCTCTAATGAGCTTAAAAGTGGCATTGACTGCACTGCATTTACCATACTCTTCGATTTCATATATGTCAAGGCATCACTTAGTGAGCTTGTGCAAGAAAAAACTAAGATGAGATAAGACAAGCTTAATGACTCAACCTCAGTTAATGGCATTGCACATCATGTCCAGGCTCAATAAAGTTCAGGTTAGACTAGGTTGTTCGAATGCATAAATTCATAAGATATGTTATACGTATAGTAATACAAAGATCAGCCCATTAACCATCCATGCCTTCATCTACTTCTACTACCTTGTCCTTTAAACTTCATCATGACTCCACAGCAAGGTCTGTCACCACCAGTAATAACCAACACTACCAGTGTTTATAGCCACCGCCACAACCACATCCTCTCTTTTTTGTCTATCTCTTGAAGCTGAATGGGAAATTTCCACTTTTACTAGCATCACAGCTCGACAAGCACTTAGCTCCTAAGGATTCAAAGAAGATAAAAAAATGTCCACAAAGAAAATTTGGTAGATCGAATTTGCATGCTCTTCTAGCTGAGGTGGCAACTAGAACTAACTCATATAACCGCTTGCTCTGAAGCCCCACTTTCTCCCCATGGGCCATAAAAATAAAATGCTTCATGAATTTGCTAATGAGATTGCTTCTACAAAGCTGTACTCTGATTAACCACTTCTTTGAACTCAGAATGTTAATAAATGCTTGGGAAAATTAGATGTAGCCCAATTCTGTGAATTCTATGACAAATAAGAAAGACCCAAATTGAGAGAATTTCAAAACCCATGTGAAAGTAAAACCCTGTAATTTTCCACAGATTAAAGAAAGCCCATGACTTACATCCTACTTCTTACTCCCCTGATTGTAGACTTTTGATTGACAGTAAAAACAGACGAAAAGTTTCAATTTTTCTTGCTCTTTCTCTGTAGTTTTTATTCCAATTTTGCAACTCCACAATTTATGCCTCTACCAGTTTTTTATATTTGCTTTCTCCCTCCTCTTTTGGTAACAGTGTAACAATGCTTCAGATATTTAATTCAAATTCTGTCCATATCTTTGTTTTCTCCATTTTTCCAGATATTTCAGAAAAATTTTGAATGAAGAAATTCTTTGTATTTCCCAAGCACAATCTTTTATTAATTTTTGTTATTTAAAAGATAAACTTCATTTTATAGAGAATTTGATGAAACAATAGAGGGTCAGAACTCCAAATGTCCACCAAAAATCAAGGCACGGGAAAAGAAAAATTACAATTTCACTAAATATCAATAAAGCATTGTCCCACAAAATAGCCCAAAAAGAGAGAGAGAGCAACCTACAATAGAATCTTATACCCTTTCCTGTTTCCTCCAAACAATATTCATATAATGAATCTGCACATAAGCTAAAATGAGCAATCCAATGAATCCCAGCGATACCAAACAATCTATGCCAAAGTAACAACGCTATGGGAAAATGCAAATTATTCCTTGTCTCCTCGCTAGCAAGACATACCAAAAACACATGAGGAAAAAGAGCTTCATACAATGTCAAGTTCATAGACTATCCATTTAGAAGAATTGTGTTTTCCCGCAATAGCATTCCAAACTAATACTTTCACAGCTTTGGAAATTTGCTTCAAAACAAAAGTACAAAGGGTTTGTCTGTTTCAACTTACTAAATATTATTGTCTTATTTCAGACAAAGAAAGTTCAAATAAGTTTAGATAGTTTAAGTTCCACTACACTGAAAATAAGTTTAGACACACTCACATATAAGCTCTACTGTATTGAAAATAAGATCTCTTAATTTTATTTTGAAAGAAAGAATCTCTTAATTGAATAAGTTAAGATAAGTTCAAATAATATAATTTCAAACAAAACAAGTTGAAGTAAAGTTAGCCTAAGATGGGGATAATGATTATAAATTGCATCAAGAAGAAAAAAGACAAAATCATCCACAACCTTACGCCTTCCCAAGAAAACCTTTTAAGATACCTAACTCTTCTGCCTCAAGGCATCCTACTTTATATATACCACCATAAAAAAATACATAAAGATAGATGAAAGAGAAACACCATGTCAAACCAAACCACCTTTTAGGCCTCACATTCAACATGCTCTTATTCGTTTGCAAGAAATAAAAGGGGGAGTAAGACTTAATATGAATTGTATACATGACAAGTTGTGTTTGGCATAAATGAGCAAAATGGAAGAAGTGGAACTTTTTTAAGAGGTCGAATTCCCATGAAACATGGAAATTGGCTTACCTACCCTCCCTATAGTAAGTTAATATTCCCATGAAGTGCAAATGCCAAAATGTAGACAGTAGACCTAGCATATGTTATTTACTAAGAAGTTCACAAGGAAAGTTAATTCATGTGAATTGAATTGAAACTTTCCATGGGAAAGTTAATACCCATGTGAACCAAGGAAGTACTAAAAATGAATAACTCACACAAGAAAGACACCCTTGAAGCCGTCCTTTCCACCTAAGACCAAAACCTTGTATCATTAATCCAAAATTTTCAAGAAACCTTATCACAAGCTAAATGAAAACAAGTGATTGCCCACCTTTATGACAATCGTCAATCACTTCATTAGTTAAGTTACCTATGTTGAACCAAAAATTTCATTGCCCACAACAAAAGTACATTGGTTACAAGAAATCATGCTAGGTAAGATCACACTTAATCGTTGAGCTCGACAAACAACCTTAGCCAAAACATTTTGTAAACACCAGTGAGTAGACACGAAACCTTCAAACTTAATAACTATTTTATTATAAGAGTAACAAAGGTATTGATTATAATCTTACATACTACTCCAGTCTTACAAAACTCATAGCACACCTCAAAGGGCTCAAATAAACCATTTCTAACAACATCCTAGCTTATCAAGCTTCATATTAAAGACACTCTTCTTGAGCTCATCAAAAACATCCCAACTTTATCATTATAGGAATATGATCCTAATTCAAGCCCATTAACAAAAGAATGATCAATCACCTCTTCCTTAATAAGGGACTCATTGATAGAAGAAATCTCCTCAACAATAAAATCTTGATCCCTAACATATTCCCCACCCACTCAACTTCAACCTCTTTAATATATCTTCTCCTTCTCTCATAAGCAACCTTGATAAACAAATTTGAACTGTTTGTTCCTCTCTTTTACAGTTTTGCCCCTTATCATTATAAAACACCTACTTTAATTCTTTATAGCAATATATCTTCTAATTCTCTTTTTATATTTTCTCTTCAAAGCTTTAACTCACTAATTAGAGGCCATCACTTTTGGCCTAACCAATGTCGGCATCAACCCAAAATAACCTCTCTTCCTCACCACAATACCACCGAACATCTTCAAATTTTCAAAATCCAACTGATCCTTAACTTTCGAATCATTTAAAACTACTCCACCTCTAAACAGAAATTACATTCCACCAATCTTTAATTCAATTCTTAAATTGTAATGATGAATCCATATGTTCTCAAATTTATAAGTAGAATGACCCGAAAATTATCTTATTGGTACAAGTATATAACAAGATCTCAGCAATCAAACACCTTGAAATTAATTAAGCATATCATAATTAAAAGACTTAGTGCACTGCCCTACAAACCCACATTCAAGATTATAAATACAAAATTCATATAAATATATTTTATCAAGACACTTGAGACTAATCCTTTTTTACATTGAAAATTACCTGAGGTTCCCAATATTTTATCAAGGCTTAGAGCTTTCAAACTCTGACTATATGCTGATTGAAGCTTCTTGCCAGTTGCTCGGAGAAGCAATGCAGCAATAAAATCTGCAATCACAAAAAGCAAACTATATCCAAGTGTTGATATTGACCACGGAAAATCTTTTTCTAAGTTGGATTCTTGGCTGATTGAAAGAATCCAAAATAGCCAGTACTTTATGTAAAAGCATTAGCTCAAAATTCAAGAGCACATTGATCCAACAAATTCCCAGTAAGTAGATAGCAAACAAACCAATGACAATAACTTTGAATCCCCAAATCCAAGGATATACCAGGGAAGAAAGAGGCAAAAATGAAAATAAAGAATAGGCAAAAAATGTGCCTTGCAAATAATTTGCATGACCTGACAGAACATCACGCTCCCAAAAGTTATTCAGAGCAAGTCTCTACGATGCATAATAACTACTTATTTCTTCATTAGGTTCTTCATTAAGAAGTGATTGTCATATTACTATTTTGGAAGAGTCAGAAATTGTTCATAATTAATAAATCACAGTTGAATTTCTCATAGTCATTTGGAATGAATGAAGAGGATGATACAGACACGAATGTTGTTAAAGTTTTTTTTTTTTTAGTAGAAACACAAAATGGTAAGGGTAATGTGGCAATAATTTTTGGACAAAGGACTGGCAAAGTATCAATCATAAATAAGCACAAGTTAACAACAGAAATGACATAAAAACAAATTTTCAGTGTTCAGTAATTAATTGCAGGTCAAATATTATCAAAGCTCACTAGCTAAAATCAACATAAAAATACTAACACGGAAATCTACTGATCGAAAGCATGGAACTTTAATGGCAAACAATAATAATAATACCGAGCATACTGTAATCCACTATCAGAGGAGGTTGAAGGAAAGATTTACCTGCACAAAATGTGGCTCGATAGCCCGTTAATTCTGCTCACATTGCAACAAAACATCATCAAGTTAGCTACAATCTAATGAAGCTAATACTCTCAATCACCAATACAAAAGAAAGTCATGAATACTTTACTTTTGAACAGTTAAAGGACCAAGCACAGAAAGCAACAACGGAGAACCATGATACATAGATCCTGCAAAATCCCCACATAAAAATTGAACAAATTAGGAAAACCCCATTTCAAAATCAATATAAATTGATCAAACAAAATCAAAATTGGGATCTTTTTTCTGAAAACAAACCAGCATAAGGTGAAATTGATGCCTGCTTCTTCAACCAATAACCCTCAGCAACTGTCAAAAAATCAATCAAAATAACAAAAAGGGTGAACAATTAAATATGCAAACTAAGTGGGATTTCAGAGATAAGAGAGAAAAGAGAGATTACGGCGACGAAGGGAAGTAACAGGGGTGGAGACTTCAGGGCGAGAAGCTAACTGAGCGAGGTTATCTGGGAAGACAAAGATGAGTATGAATCTGAAGATGATTGCTGCAATTGCCCATTCCCAGAATCTCTTTACCTCCGTTTTTGTTGTCGATGATTTTGCGTTGTTTTCGTCTTCGCCCATTTCGTCCGATTATCGTTGTCTTTCTCTCGAGTCCTTCTTTAGTTGAAAATGGATCTTGAATAGCACGGAGTAGTGATCAGTTCGTCTCCGGCAGTCCGGCTACTCTGTTTTTTTCTTTTTTCTTTTTTAATGCAACAATTTGACATGTACATTTATCGCGATACAATTTTGACCAATAAATTATTACTCCCTCGTTTTTTTAACGAGTTTCATTTATTACCAAAAAAAAAACGTCGATGGGTGTAGTTGTCGAAAAAAACGCCACCTTTCCATCGGCGAGGGAAAGTTGTGGGTCGTCGTTGAGGGGAATGTGGTGGGTCGCCAGTCGGGGTGGTGATCTCGAGGTGTTAGTGATTGGTGGCAAGAGGGAATAAAGTTGAAGTTTTAAGGGCATGATGGTCCATTCATTGAAATGTTGATGGTTTTGATCATTTTTTATGGCAATATTTTTTTTTTGAAATTAATTTTATATCTATCTCCTCCCATAATTCCGACTCAAACTCAAAAAAAAAAACAAATAAGCACACCATACCGCACACATGCCACAAATCGGTTAGCCTCGGCGGTGCACGTGTGGGGATGCTCCATTCCAACCCACAACATAAAGGATAGTATTTCAAACATCTATGTTTAACCACACATATTTAAACCAAGTAAAACTTTTATCTCCACTAACGTGGGATAAACTCATTTCATCCAAAATATAAAACAAGTTAAACCATCTTTATCCCACCAATGTGGGACAATGTGTTTTCTTTCAAAACATTAAGCCATAGCGCTATCACAATGCTCTTTTCTTCGACTAACACTTGCTACCATTTTCATTGTTTGAAACAAATCCAACCCATGAGGGCCATGACCACCTCCCTCATAAATGCAAGCATCGACATTCACCTTTTATCCAGTGAAGCGTATGCGGAGACTAGCTAATAACCTAATTTGTTGATTGTACTACGAAAATTAGGGAATTGAAACACTTTCTTTGCATCAGTAAAATAGTCTTCCACAAAATGTACATAAACACCTGTAACTAAGATTGAATCGAGGGCATTTTGTCATAAATAGCCTTGTTAAGGTAGAATCGAAATAGCTCATGTAAAGTCAACTATCTTACCCAAGTTCTTCACATTTGTCTTAGGCCTTGTTATGTTCATTATATATTTATATTTCCACTTATTTTAGGAAAAATAAATTCAGATAAGTTGTGATAAGGGTTAATCACTTAATCAAGGCTACAAAAGTCCAATTTATAACTAAAATAAGTTCTAATAAGGGCTTATAAGTTTAGATAAATAAAAATAAGGAAGAACGCACTCTTAGCTTTTAACTATTTGAACCACATTGCAAAGGATAAATCATGGGTGCCTAAGTAGCTCAACACGATTACAATGTACCAAAATTTTATTATCATCCTTGTACACATATATACTACAAGTATTATTTTAAGTTAAATACTAAGGCCCTGTTTGATTCACCTTAATTTTGCTGAACTGAACTTATTTTTACTGAACTGAACTTAATTTTACTGAATTGAAATTATTTTTACTGAACTTAAATTATTTTTACTGAACTGAAATTATTTTTACTGATTTTCTATTATAATTCTTCTTTAAGAAAACTGAATTTTACTGAATTGAACTTATTTTTACTGAACTGAAATTATTTTTACTGAACTGAAATTAATTTTACTGAACTGAAATTATTTTTACTTAATATTATTTTTTTTAAGGTGAAGAGAACAGGGCCTAAGTTAAGTTTGGTATCGTGGAAAAAATTGCACCTTTTAACCTTGAGATTGGTATTTAATCCTCACTAGAGACACTTTGAGGGTGAGGATTCCTTTCCCTCCCTTCAAATTTTGCACTTAAATAATATTCCGAACTTTAAAAGTTGAGCTCAATCTAATAAGGAGTAAAAATTTTGAGCCGATTTAGAAATTTTGAATAGTTTACGGGCTAAATTTTTTGAGCCAATTTAGAAATTTTGAATACTACTCCGTACTAGTTTAAGGCCCTGTTCTCTTCACCTTACAAAAATAATATTAAGTAAAAATAATTTCAATTCAGTAAAAATAAGTTCAGTTCAGTAAGACCCTGTTTGATTCACCTTAATTTTGCTGAACTGAAATTATTTTTACTGAACTGAACTTATTTTTACTGAACTGAACTTAATTTTACTGAACTGAAATTATTTTTACCGAACTTAAATTATTTTTACTGGACTGAAATTATTTCTACTGATATTCTATTATAATTCTTCTTTAAGAAAACTGAATTTTACTGAACTGAACTTATTTTTACTGAACTGAAATTAATTTTACTGAACTGAACTTAGGCCCTGTTTGATTCACCTTAATTTTGCTGAACTGAAATTATTTTTACTGAACTGAACTTATTTTTACTGAACTGAACTTAATTTTACTGAACTGAATTATATTTACTGATTTTCTATTATAATTCTTCTTTAAGAAAACTGAATTTTACTGAACTGAAATTATTTTTACTGAACTGAAATTAATTTTACTGAACTGAACTTATTTTTACTGAACTGAAATTATTTTTACTTAATATTATTTTTTTTAAGGTGAAAAGAACAGGGCCTTATTTTTACTGAACTGAAATTATTTTTACTCAATATTATTATTTTAAGGTGAAGAGAACAGGGCCTAAAATTAATTTCAGTTCAGTAAAAATAATTTCAGTTCAGTAAAAATAAGTTCAGTTCAGTAAAATTCAGTTTTCTTAAAGAAGAATTATAATATAAAATCAGTAAAAAAAAGTTCAGTTCAGTAAAAATAATTTCAATTCAACAAAATTAAGGTGAATCAAACAGGGCCTAAGAGCTAGCTAGGTTCATCAACACTTCCACAATACAATAAGTTTTTACATGACCTAAAATTCTAAAAGTTTCAACAAAATTAAGGTGAATCAAACAGGGCCTACGAGCTAGCTAGGTTCATCAACACTTCCACAATACAATAAGTTTTTACATGACCTAAAATTCTAAAAGTTTCAACAAAATTAAGGTGAATCAAACAGGGCTTACGAGCTAGCTAGGTTCATCAACACATCCACAATACAATAAGTTTTTACATGACCTAAAATTCTAAAAGCAACGAAGGTGAGCTGATTTTTTCCCTAGGGTACTTTGCTTGTCATGTTTTACTACTCTAGTCTACTTGTTTTGCAAGGCATTCTTTAATTCTATAATCTATTCCAACTTCCAAGTGTAGAACAATTGAGAGATTTCTTTGTCAAACAAAACCAAAATCAATTACCCTTCATTTCACCTTCTTCTCCACCGCTAACTGTAATCCCTCAATATATAAACAACCCCCAAATATTTGGAAAATTCTCCTTTTTTTTAAAAAAAAAAAACAAATTATCATACAAAACTCCCTTTGAATTGTACCCTTTTGAAGAATCTCCCTCTCTCTCATCGCCATTGAAATTGTTTCTTCAAACTCTACTACAATGGCGACTGTTAATCGTGAAGCAATTGATACTTTTATGAGCATCACCGGTGCACCTGAGGCTGTTGCTACGCAAAGGCTTCAGGTATTGATTAAACTTTAAATTGTCGAATTTGGGTTTTGATTTTTGTAAGATTTCAGAGTTGGGCTGATTAGGGTTTGCTTTATTTTGTTGTTTTGCTTCCTTTTTAATGAAATTTTGGGTATTTTTTTTATGGGATTGAACAATCTAAGAACAGTATTCTGATCAATTATTGTAGTTAGTTTGATGGGAATTATATGTATTGTACTAATGTACTAGATTCATATTATGGACTTGAGCTGAATTTGGATGGCATTGATGGATGATTGTCTGCAATTGACTTGATTGATTGTTGTGGAGTTTGGTTTAATTGATTGATTGATGATAATTTAAGTTTAGTGCTATTGATCAAGTGGAGTTGGAGGCCATTTTAATATCCATTGGCAGTTTCTATAAGGATCTTGGCGTTTCTACTTTTTTCCGTTTGTTTCAGTGTGTGTGGTTTAGTTAGTAATTCACTTCATAATGCCATTATACTGATTATTATACGCTTTGTGGGTTTAATTGTGCTTCTATGTATTTTTTATTAAATAAATACGAGTACTTTTGCTCGGTGTCATGGATTAGTCGTCTGATTGTGCTCTGTGCTAACTACTGTTTGGTGGTTGCTGGAATTTAAAGAGTGTTTAAGAGTAACTGAGAAGTACAGTCCTATTAGTGGGCATGTTGCCATTTTCCTACTATGGCATACTTTATTACCTGTGAAGAGTGGTTGAAGAGATGCTGTACTGTTGTTTTTTCAATCTTTCTCTTGAGTTTGATGTTGAAGAATAAGTTCAATCAATTGCTTAATCAACCGAGTTCCAATGAAACATTAGAAGATGAGTTTGGCTTGATTTATTAGTTGTGATCATGTGTGTGATAATGTACTTGGCTCAATAGAGGATCAGCCGGAGGCTTTTATCTTATTAGGTGTGACTGGACTAGTTGAAGATTTGTGCTAAATATGTTCTGAGCAAGTTATGCTAGGTTCAAATGGTGCTCCACAAAGGCACAAATGATCACGTTTATGCTGATAGAGAGAAAGGGGTGTACATTGTCTTGAGTGATAATTGTTTTGGACGAATGGTGTATATGTTAGATATTATAGACGACATCGCGAAGTGTGGAGAGAATCATTAAGATATACTGAGGAAGTTTACTCTCTGTTTCATAATATAATGCTTGTTTAAGGTTGTTATTAAACCATCCGTATACCTGTTATTCACAATTCTGTCTATGTTAATGCTTGAGCTGCTCTTTTCTACGTATTCCTTGCTTGAAATTTTTGTTATGCAGTTGCTGTTGTTTATGTAGCGTATCTTTTGGAGATAAGAAGAATTACACATACTTGTAAATGTTTGTGCAGCTGTGTTCTCTTCTACTCCGTATGTTATTTTTTGTAATATATTCTTGTATATGTGTAGGAGTTCGGTGGCAATCTCAATGAAGCTGTTAATGCACATTTTAGCGAGGGGGATAGAAATGTGTAAGTTCTTGCTACATTACTGTGCTTTCCATGACCATCTTTAGCGTTTACTACTGGTTATCTCACTTGTAGAGCTTCCTGTTTTATTTTAATATAGTTACTTGTAGCACCTCTGGCTTCTTTTTTTCTACCTAATGAATGTATATGTAATTGTAACTTGCTCTTCAAAATCTAGTATGCAGGAAGCCTCTATTACTGGTACTACCACACCAAATGATCTCATGGATATAGATGATCCCCCAGTAACAGAGCCTCATGGACCTGCATCACTACTTTCTGCTGCCAGAGGAACCAATCCCTTTTCCATACTTGATCCAGCCTTTGGGAGGAGCCTATTTGAAACTAGAAACCTTTTCGATACCAGTTCTGAGATCATGGGACGTGCCCCATTTGTCTCTCAGCCAAGAGAAGTTAGAGAAATTCCCATAGAAGTCAAGGATGGGGGTGAAAATTTAGCTGCTCCTTCTGGTCATGGTCCAAGGATTGAGGATGTCACAGACTCTATTGATGCAGAGGGACCTCAAACACATGGAACTGTCATTGTTGAGGATGAAGATGATGATATAATCCCTGGGAATTTAGGAGGTGGTTGGAATAGCTCTAGACCTAGTGCACCTCAATTTGATGATTCACGAGATTATGCGACGAATGATATCGAAGAAGAAATGATTCGAGCTGCCATCGAGGCTTCCAAGAGAGATACTGAACTCCAAACTACTCAAGTTGGCCCTGTTTTCCTCTTATAACTTTGGAATTTCTATTAATTTATGCTGTTTAACAGCCTTTATATATTTTTTTTGGTTTCTGTAAATAATAATTCCTTCTTCTATGTTAAAGGGGTTGGATAATGTTAGCCGGCAGCAAGTGCCTCCTCAACGAGATGATGTCGAGCTTGAACACGCCGTATCTTTATCTTTAAAGGTTAGTGGTCTATGATGTTTGACTGATTTTCTTTTGTAAATTTATTTACAGCTCCTGACATTTGGTTATACTGCCTTGTTAATGTCAATTTAGACAGCAGAACAGGAAGTTCTTCAAAGAGAGACGAGTCTCAAGGCTGGAGCTTCTGGTTCAACTGCTAATGAGCCTCTGGAGGTGGAAGAGCTAGGGAAAATAGAAGAATCAAATAGAAGGTATATTTTAGTAGGTGTAATAGTTATGGTTTTCTTGGTTACTGATTGATAAGCACGTCTGGATAAAGAATTCCTGTTTATCTGATCTGAATAATCTGAACTTGATCTAAATCTTGTTGGAGACAGGGCAACTTGATAATAGCCTAGGAAAAAGGAATCTACCGGATTTAACCTAAGAATAGACACAGACATTAATACCTAACGGCTTACGCTTTTATTTATTTATTTTTTTATTTATGATTATAACAATCTAATTATCAATAGCTTCAAACTAAAGTAACCCAATCTGAATTGGAGTTGAACTTGAAGTCTCACTTCCTTAACTGAGTTTATGGAGGACAGCCAAGTCTATTGATAAGTTTAAATTCATTGCAATGGATTAGGGGCATATACGGTGATAATTGAGCAAGCTGGGAAAGGGGTTTGACTTGAGCTCAAGTTGAAGTGTTGAACCTTAGTACTTGCTTACTCACCATTAATTCTACAAAAAAATTTAAACTATTATTACCTAGCTTTATTAATTATTGAGAAATCTGTTGCTACGTTATGTTAAACAATGTTAAAATAGGATCATTAACACTGATTATGTTTAAAGTTTTCCCATCCAAAATTTTTATAATCTAAAACTGTTATTGATCTGGTCACAAGGAATTCAAGTAAAATTCACACTGAGTCAAGTTTTGACCAAGGCTTTGACTGTTTGATTTGCCTTATGGTTAGCTCGGATAAATATTATCCTTAGCTCCATTTGATGGATCATCTAGTAGTCTTTAACTTCAAAGAGAAGTAATTTGATGAATAGAGTGATGTTTATGTTGTATCAATGTATATAATATGCTTTAGTGGTACTCTATCATTCTATATTTTATACCTTCTACTACTTGTTGGAAATTAAAGCAAATTCAATGGATATATGTACTAAGCCTGGTTATTGGATGGCAGGACAGGGCTGTCCATTGCTAGAAGAGCATGGCTAAAAATTAAAGGGTTTTGACCCTTAACATCTTTAATGTGCAAGGCTTTTATAGGGTCACCAACTCACCACTTAAACCCCCATAATTTTTTTTAAAAAATATAAGGTCTTAAATAATATCAGGAAGGCTTTTTTTTTTTTTTTTTTTAATCTCTCTATTGACTTTCAATCATACCACTTCTCTCTTCTTCGTCGTTCTTCAAGTTTGATATTCATCCTCTTATCCAACCTCTTCTTGATCTACATGGTAAATCGACTTAAATTCAACTTCTATGATCATAAATTATGTAAATAGTCGATATTTCTCTCAGCCATTGGTAAATCTCGAGAGAAAAAGTTACTCGAGAGAAAAAGTTAGGGTTGAATAATTGAATATGGTTATGGGCGAAAATTATAATGTAATTTCTGTATATCTCTCTCCTCCGTTAGGTTGGATTGAAATTTCAAATCACCCATATACTCTTTTGTTATTCAATTGAGTGATTTTGATTAGTAATTTTTATAATTTTCTGGTTTTAATGAGAGATTTTTGATGAAAAAGTGACAAAACACACAATGCAAGAACAATGCTATCCAATATAATGTGAAAAAAAAAAATTCAAATCAAAACAATTACTGGTAATGGGGGAGTGAAGAGAATGATAAACACAGTAGAAGAAATTGGATCTCTCACATAAAGGGATGAATGAGTGAAGAATATATCTAAGATTGTAAATTGGCTGGGTTTTTTTTTTTTTTTTTTTCCTTCTTTCTTTCTAATTTTATCCCATTTTGACCGACTTTACTTTTACACCTGGCCCTGACGCCTGACCTAATTCTAACCCTCATGGCCATGAATATGACCATGACCCAACCCACGTAAATTTTTCATTGACCTGCCAATGACACGCCCTGCTACTACCCGAACCTGCCCCAACCTGCCCAGTAACCAGGGTTAATTTTACTGGGATTTGTATCCCATCTTCTCCAGTTCTTCTGGGCTTTGGTTGTGGTTTTTTTCTACAATCTTTCCATTGCACTTCTCTCACCCTAGGTGGAGTGGGTTTTGGATTGGGAGCCCCTTCTTGCAGGCTTAGAAGCAGAAAAACATGAACCTTCTGAACCAGATGCAATGGAGCCAGATCATCTTTATCCTGTCTTGGACTGAGTATATTGCGCCTCTTTCTATTGCTAACATTTTGACTTTCTTTTTTAAGCATATTTCTTTAGTATTATATAGAGCTGTGTTGCCTATAAGTGATAAGAGTGTGCACCTCGTATCATTTACCCCTCTCCATACTTGCAAGAAAGCAATAATTATGTATGCAATTTGTTCTTCACAATATTTGACCCTATCTTTGTCCTTTTTCTTCTCAATCTCAAAGGCAAGATGTTAGTTCTTCTGACAAGCCTTCTTCAATTCACCATAAGAAAGAAGCAGGGAGCTCATCCATCCAAGATGAAGCCGATGATATGGATGAACAACCACTGGTCCGGAATAGGTCAAGGCGTAGGTCTTCCGCTTCAACGGCCCAAGGGGAAGTTGCTGAATCAGATGTTAGTCCTGTTCTGGATCCTCCACAAACAAATGTTGCTAGTGAGACTCATCCCAATGGAACTGCTTTTCCTTCAGATGAGGTAATAATATCCCTTAACACAGTTCAATGTGGTTTTTCTGCATGTTAATGAATGCAATGTTTCTTGAAAAAATGGAAACAGTAGATATCTAAGTGGCTCATTATTTTTTGTAAAATTATGAAAGCAGTAAAAAGGGCTGAGAGTGGAGGTTAACAATGGCTGTATTTTAATAATTAATTATTGTTCTTGTAGTGGGGAGGTATCTCCTCTGTAGAGCATGATGAAGCAGTTATGTTGGAGGCTGCCATGTTTGGTGGAATCCCTGAGGGTGGATTTCGTGCACCTTATGCTCCAAATCATCTGATGCACCCTGGCTTTGGTACATCATGGAGAATGCCTCGTCCTCCCTCACCGGGTCTTGTTGCGCAGCGTGCAATTCGGGAACAGCAGGTATGAGGAGTTTTCAAATTAAGTGTGTTTTTTAAAAAGTTTTTATTATTATTATTATTATTTTTACTAAATATTTTTTTTTTTTCCAATTCGATCCATGCAGGATGATGAGTACCTTGCTGCTTTGGAAGCTGATAGGGAAAGGGAAATGAAGGCTGTAGAGGAAGAAAAAGCAGCTAGGGAAGCTGCATTGGAAGAGCAGAGGCTAAAGGAGGAAGAATCGCGTAGAAAATTAGAGGAGGAACAGGTAACGTTACAACTTCTTGTGTGTCTTAAACAACATTGTTACTCTCTCAATGCATGGTTTTATTTGTTACAGCCTTTGTTTTGTAGTCTGATATTTTTTGTCCCTACTTAATGGTAAATGACGATTTGATATTGAGCTCTTCTTGGCTATCCCTTTATACATAGATCATCCCTTTATACATAGATCATTTTGCTTCGGCATTAATAATCAAATTTGTGTGAGATACTTGTCTTTGCTGTTGGGGTTAGCGGATCAGGTCAAGCCACAATTAAAAAATAATGAATTTTCGAATGACACAACCTTGCATTAGTTTGTAAATCATCTTCTATACTGAAATCAATTTTGGGGCTGTAATTGTGAGTTTCAAAAACTGAAAGGTCCTTTATGCATATTCTGAAAGGTCAAAATCAACGGCACACTGACTTAAGAGTATCTATGTACTCTGTATATGAGTTGCTTTTATCTTGACCAGGTAATCCTCATATAATGATTGGTCTTATTTATTTTTATTTTTTAAAAAAAATTTTAGAAGAAGGGTGTCTTGGAACCTTGTATTTTTTTCGCCAAGCACCTATTGATGTCAGGTTTAGGTTGACATCAACAGGCTACATACTAGGAATTTGCTAGTTCTCGTGTTTCATTTCTGTTGAGTTTGTATTAAAAAAATGGTCATTGTGAAACTAATTTCACTCAAATTAATTCCTATTGTCCTTTGTTAGCCAAATTTATCATGCTACCCAATCTGAATGGCTAAAGCTTTTCATTGGTTGCTATTGTGTATTTGTGTGTGTAAAATCCATGAATTTCAATTTATGGAACTTGTACACTTTGAGTGTTATTTTGGCTTTCTCACTTGTATTCATTTCTAATCTCTAGCTTTCTTAATTCCTTTTCATCTTATACTATGTGTAATATATGATGTACCCATTTACTGTGGACTCTTCTTTCTAGGAGAGGGTGAGGATTGAGTGGACAAGTGTAATTATTCTAGGGTAAAGGAGAATGAGATGGTAATATGTGTGCCTAAAATAGGATAAATTAGAAGTGAGTACAAAAAATATACCTCAAAATGGAAAGTGGGTAATTAATCTAGGGTAAAGGAGAATGAGATGGTAATATACCAGCTTTGTAAGAGAAAAAGGAATTTTTCACTCTAGGTCTAGTTCCAAAGGAGGTGCCTCGCCTACCCCTGCCACCTCTATTGAATAAACGGGGCCTCGCTCTACGTTAAGGTTTAACATGAATTTAATTGGATTCAGGAAGAGAGGGCTGGTCACCCCCTTGATCGAGGTTACTAGCCTCTAACTGAGCTACGATGAGATCAAGACAAGGAGCAGGTTTGTTTGGGCAAGATTTTAGAGTGTGGTCATTGTTACCACAAAGAGGGCAAACTTCGTGGACCCCCTCATAAGAAAGATAGAAAAGAATATCCTTCTCAGTTTTCATAGAGAGTACAAGGAACAGGTTTGCGTAGTATGGAAAGTGGGTAATTGGGAGTATGTAATATTATTGATTTGCTTTTGCTTTTGATTGTAAATTTGTAGTCGCCGTTTGTGCTTTTTTTTATTTTCTTTTTAACCATGGGTTTTCTCAACAATTCTTGGTGATGGTGAAAATTAGGTGACGGTATTGATATATGTTGAAGGTTAGCATATTGCGAATCATCTATGGTTCATTTCTGAGCTATACTTGTCTATATCATAATTTTCCGATTCTTAAGAAGTTTTTCTCTGCCAGGAGCTTGAGAGGCAATTGGCTGCAAAAGAAGCCTCCCTTCCTGAGGAACCATCATCGAATAATGAGAATGCTGTAACTCTTCTTATTAGAATGCCTGATGGCAGTCGACGTGGCCGCCGGTTTCTTAAGTCTGATAAATTGCAGGTATATTCTGTAAATAGTTCCTTCTGTTTAGATATGATTCACACTGATACTCAAGTTGATAGCTAACTGATCATTGCTCCTGCAGTCACTTTTTGACTTCGTTGATATTGGGAAAGCAGTCAAACCTGGCTCTTATCGATTGGTAATCTTCTATTTCTCAACCGCTTAGATGTCAAATTATACAATTTTTAGCAGTTACACAACTGATACTTCTTTGGATTGAAGTTCAACCAATTATTTGAAGGCTGAAAACTCAATTTATGCATCTCTGTTAAATCAACATGGTTTTTCTAGTAGAACTAGTCTTCTGGCCCGTGCAATGCACAGGTTGTTTAATTTATAGATATACAATACAAATTTTTGTTTTATAATATATATTTATTAGGAAATAAATTGCTTATAAAGGAGAAGAAGGGGTGAAAATTGAATGTAATTGTAGAAGATATTAAGTTGGGAAAGTGAACCATGCAAACAACATTCATACATGTATTTAATTAAAGTGTATTTTTTTTAATATGAGAAAGGGGATTAAAAAAAAGAAAGGTTAAATGAGGTGACATGTGGCATTGGTGAAAAATAAAATTAACATGTGGCTTGATGGGGATGACGGTTTGTGTTTTTAAATACTAAGTATAGATAGATATAGATTAATCACACCTTCTAAAATGTTGCACTTGTGTATTGACTTCTTGAAGGGCTTGCTTTACTGCACACCATAGATCATTATATCAATCGTCATCTTTTAGTATATCTCATATCAAACATGCTATGTGGTGGCATTGACAGGTAAGGCCTTACCCTCGCCAAGCATTCAGCAGTGGAGAGTGCAACGTGACCTTAAACGATCTTGGCTTGACAAGCAAACAAGAAGCTTTGTTTTTGGAGTTGATTTGAGACACTCCAAATTTGTAGAAATTAATGTCTAATCCCATTCAGTAATTATTAGAATTATATATATAATTTACATGCACATGGAAGTTTATACATGTTTGGGCTTTTGACTAGCTTTTCTAGTACAAGTAACTCCCATGTGTTTAAAGGAGTTGGAAATGGAAAATCATGTTCATGGGCAATTGGTTGTGTGCTTTTATTTGCTTGGTTTTATGAAATTATTAATTTGGTTTTTGATGCCTATGCAAATTGTTACAAAGTATCCGAATATGGAATTTCATTATAGTATACAAATTGTTACGAAGTATCCCAAAATGGCTTATTTATTTATTTATTTATTTATTTTATGCAATATGCAACTCCTATTGCTACATTTCTTTTTAATGATATATAATACCCTAAAGGCTATATAAAAGTAATTAAAAGTAGAATTAATATAAAGGAGCGATTAAAATGTGATTTTGTTTGTGCTTAATTTGATCTCCTTTGAAAGACAAGGTTTTTTCGATCTCCTTCGAAAGACAAGGTTTTATTTGTACTTAATTTGATCTCCGGTTGTGCGGGGCTACTATTGATTGTGGCTCGGATTCGGGTTACGGAATCAACACAAGAATTTACTTTCTCACAAAATTGCGAAGCGATGACGGATCCACTCAAAAAGTTGTATGAGACAACGAATCGAGAATATGCCGAATTGTTATATTTATGTATTTGGATTCTTAGCCCTTCCCCGATTAATTCTTGTTTGATTTTGTTAAATTCGTTTTCATTATCGTTCATTGTCAATTGTAGATGCCGTATGGCTTACATTAATGAAATTTAGTGTCCTTTTAGGACTTTTTTCAAAAAAAAAAAAATATGTGATTTTGTTATTCGTTCCTAAATTGATACCAGTTTAGAAAATATACTAAATTGTTATATCATTACCCTATTCACCATACAAGTTAGATAGGATATTATCTATACTAATATATTAAAAGATGTTTCTAACAACGTTCACGTGTCACGAAAGCTCCCCTCCCTACGCCACGTCATCCATTCAAGTACTCATAACGCCACGTGGCTCTCTCTTCCATTGATTTTCATTATATGTCATGCACTCATAATAATTATAAAAAAAAAAAAAAAAAAAATCTCCACTACATTTTAACTCGCAACTTCTAATTCAAGAACTAAATGTCTTATCACCAAGCTATGTGATTCTTTATGTAATTTTTTAATACAAAATATTAATAAGTAGTAAATGGCAATATGAATAACAACTTTTATTACAAGAAAATTAAATCATAAATTACAATGTATATTAATGATCAATTAGTTTCATGTAATAACCTGGGGCATCGCCCAAAAACTAGTTTATTCGTTAAAAATTAAAGATAGATATTAACTATCATAAAATTTTAAAATCTAGGGAAATTTGGCAATAATAACATCAAGTATACGTTTGTTGACTTGTAGACTTGTAGTAATTAACACCAATTAGGGCAATTACACCACAACCTACACCTACACACAATGGCACAATATTTTAATTGATGTTTAATAATTTTAACTTTTATGGTACAATTGTTGACAAGTGGACTATAGATTCAAGTTGTTCCACCCTATTATACATCGGCAATTGTAAATTGTAATTGTTACTAGGCAAAAGCTAATGAGCACCCTCGAGACGCTAGATAAGAGAATTAAAGTAGAAATATTAGAGTAAAATTAACATTAATTACACCGAACGACGCGTGATTTTGTCATGCATTCATAACTTAATACCATTTCAACCAATATAATTATTCCTTGTCCAACAGGGAGCTCGTTAGTAAGATACTTTTTCCTACCATAAAAAATACGAGTAAATAAAAAGGAGTAATAATAATAATACTAATAGTACCCCCTCGCCCCTCCATATAAAGTGACAATTATAATTGCATGGTATTGTATGGCTTATGTTTTTAACAATATTGTTTATTTATTTTTTTATTTTTTTACACAATATAATATCTAATTTTAATTGTATATTTCTATTAATGATCACAAAATATAGTTTGAATTTTCGAATTGCTAATATTAAGGTTTAAAACACCTAGAGTGGCAGAATTCTAGTGTGTTAAATAATCCTTGTACAAGGTTACAAACCTATTGATAAAAGTTAAATTGTCAATTTTCTATCTTTATTGCTAACAATTAGTTGGAGTATAAGTGTATAACCGATGTTTCACATTTAAGTTTCATTATCATAGCTAACAGCTACTCGCACAACTATATACACCAAAAATCTGTTTTAATCATAAAAAATTGACCATTACTCTATTTGATTATAAATAAGCATTTTTTTTTTATTCTGAATATGTAAACACATTTTTAAAACTTTATTATTTTTTAAAAACTTTTATTATTTTTTAAAAACTTTTATTATTAATCCACTAAATTATGATTATATCCTCTTGCTTGAAGCTCACTAACCACCAAAGTATTTCTTAAAAAAGAAAAAACCCCACAATAATAACACAAATACCTCCAAAAAATAAAAAACAATTTCCTAGAACAGAAAGAAAGAAAGAACAAACAAAGGAAAATACAACGGTCATAAACTACACGGGCGGGTAATCATAGTGAGACAAGCACGTGCAATCCACGTGGAAATTTATATCATCAACAAACTCCCATAAAAGTCAAACCAACTCCTCAACTCTTCTTCTTCCCTCTTTCTCTTCAACGGTCATATTTCACCGACATCTCTCCAACGGTAACATACCATCTTTTAACTTAATCTCAACCGTCCGATTCCAATCCAACGTTCAATAACACTCCAAATTCACACTATTTCCCATCATTTTCCAGTTCTCAGTACTTAAAAAGCACCCCAATTTCCGGTCAACAAAGTAGCTTTGATAGGGACAGCTATGGAAGTAGTGAGAGAAACATTCATAAAGTTGGTATCTTTATTCTTTTTTATTGTTTCATTTCATTATATAAAAACAGAGTTTGCTTAAGTTTTATGGTTTTTTTGGGTTAATTAAGGTTGTGTTTTTGTTCATCTTAGGTTGGGAAATGTTGTTTCTTAAGTGAATTTTGGTGGGGTTTTTGATTTCTTGCTGCTTGCTATGGAATTCGCTGAATTGGGTTGTTGTTGTTCTTCCTCTGTTCTTCAGAAATTCTGCCTCAATTTTGATGATCAAGTATGTTTCTTTACTTCTCTTGTATTTTATTCAATTCAATTTGCAATTCTAAGACTTTTCAAATGAGCATTTTTCATTCATAATATTATTGGAATCCGATGATTTATTTCTTTCTTTGATTTTTGATTCAATTTAATTAGATTCATTCATTATTGATTTTTGTTCATATGTTATAGCTTTTGATTTACATCATTATATGTAGTTAGTTCAAAATTCATTGATTCATTCTTAATTGCACATAAACTACTCATATAAAATCACATTATAACCCAATTCTTTGTAGAGAAAAAACACATCACAATTCACAAATCACATTTCACTCGATTTTTCGCCTCATCGGATTCCGGATTTTGTTCATAGAATTTGCACACACTCACCTACAAAATTCACATAGCGCACAAACAAACATAACGGTTATTATACTACAATAGTGCATAGTGTGTGCATGTTTTGAGATTTTAGAACAGAGCATACATCAGAAAACAGAGTGTGTGATAGAAAAACAGAGGAAGAAGAAAAAAAAACAGAGGAAAATAGGGAAGAAGAAGAAGGAAAAGGTGGGTTTTAGTTGAGAAGAATGTTGGCTGGGTGTTCATCAACATTATTGTCACCAAGGCATAGATTAAGGAGTGAAGCATCAGCTTGTCATTATCCATTACCTTCAATGAGCACACAGAGATTGGATTTACCCTGCAATTTTTCAAGAAAAGAAGTGTCAGTCACTCGTCCGCCGCAGTCGATTCGAGGGTTATCAGTCGAGAAGCCGATCGAAACAAAGGGATTGAAGCAGACAATCAAGGTACCGCCTTCGCCCGAGGGAAGGAGGGAGATCAAGGCAGAGTTTTGGGGTGAAAAGGGGAAGAACTTGAAGAGGAGATTCAGTGATCAAGGCTCTTTTGAAGAAGATGATGATGAAGATGAAGAAGAAGGGTCTAGAAGAAAGAAGGGAAGATTTGATTTTGGAGAATCTGAGGGTTTTTGGATGCAACAACCTGGTTTTGGAGCGGTTAATTACCCTCAATTGCCTTTTTCAATTTCTTGTTCAGGGGAAGAAGAAAGGAGGGTGTGTTTTGGTGCTCCTACTGATGTGGTTTCGCCGCCGCCATTGCCACCACTGTCGCATAACCCTTGGATTGGGTCTGGTGTTACTGAGATCACTGAGTATGGTGAGCCAAGTCATGGACCTGTTACAACAACAACATCAGGGTCAAGTTCATCTTCTGAGAGTCACAGTTTGGGGCTTAGGCTCAATGAGAATGTTTCTGAGCATGAGTATGGAAATGGGTCTGTGAATCCTAACCCTGGTGATGGTTCTAGGGCGGTTAGGACTCACAACGACGATGATCACACCGAGCAGCAAGGGTTCGAGCTTGTCAGCTTTCTTATGAGTTGTGTGGAAGGTATTGCATCAAGGAATGTTCCTGCAATTAATCATTTTATTGCTAAGTTGGGTGAGCAGGCTTCTCCTAGGGGCCGGTCTACCATCAGCCGTCTTACAGCTTACTTTACTGAGGCTTTAGCCTTAAGGGTGACAAGGTTATGGCCGCGAATGTTTCACATAAGTGTCCCTAGGGAGCTTGATCGATTCGATGATGAGTCCGGTGCAGCTGCATTCAGGCTGTTGAATCAGATTAGTCCTATTCCAAAGTTCATTCACTTCACTGCTAATGAGATGCTGCTGAGAGCCTTTGAAGGGAAGGATAAGGTGCATGTCATAGACTTTGATGTCAAGCAAGGGCTGCAATGGCCTGGCTTTTTCCAAAGCTTAGCCACGAGGCGTAACCCTCCTAGTCATGTTAGGATCACTGGGATAGGGGAGTCAAAGCAGGAATTAGTCGAGACAGGAGAAAGGTTGGCTAGCTTTGCTGAGGCATTTAATCTGCCTTTTGAGTTTCATCCGGTTGTTGATCGTTTGGAGGATGTAAGGCTATGGATGCTCCATGTCAAGGAAGGAGAAAGTGTGGCGGCGAATTGCATATTACAGCTTCACAAGACCCTATATGATGCTAATAATGGTGCATTTAGGGACTTCATGGGTATAATCCGAAGCACTAACCCTATAGCTTTGGTTATGGCTGAGCAAGAAGCTGAGCACAACGAGCCCACTTTGGAGATGCGGGTTTGTAATTCACTAAGATACTACTCGGCCATCTTTGATTCAATTGATTCTAGTCTTCCTTTTGATAGCCCTGCAAGGGTGAAGATTGAGGAGATGTTTGGGCGCGAAATTAGGAACATTGTTGCTTGTGAAGGGAGTGACAGGATTGAAAGGAATGAGAAGTTCGGGAATTGGAAAAGGAGAATGGAGCAAGAGGGTTTCCGGGGTATCAGGAGGGACGAAAGAGAGGTGTTTCAAAGCCAGATGTTGCTGAAGATGTACTCGAATGAAAGGTACAATGTGGAACAGCAAGGGGATGAAGGCATTACATTGAGATGGATGGATCAGCCTTTGTATACCGTCTCTTTGTGGGGTTCTGTTGATGCTGCTGCAGGGAGTTCTTCCAGCTTTTCCCAGCCAATTTGATTCTGGTTGCTGATGGATTTTGCTCGAAGTATAGGAAGTCGAATTCTTTGTAGGTGTAGAGGAATTCTTTGATTCTTTCATGCAGATAAAATTCTTTTTGTGGATCATAGTTCTACAGGATACAGTTAGCCATTTTTTCGATACAGATTTCAGTTTGATTTCTTATATAGGTCATACATATTTCTAGCTAGACTGTATTGAAGCACAGTTTTTTCATGTCTATTCTTCAATTCTTTTGTCAAAAAAAAAAAATTCTTTGTAGCTGTTATTCAGGAATATGTTTATTCATTTGTTATTCAGGATCATATGGAATAAAAATCATTCATTTCGAGGTTGTTTCATCATTGTGTTTTCCTGACTTTTTAGTAGTAATTCAATAGTATGTTTATATATGTTGTAAATAACAGAGATTTGTTACTGCCACAGTCTTTTAATTGTTAGATTTTGCAGACAGTATAAGCTTGCAACCTAGTTTTCTTTTATTTGACAGTAAAGCACACTGGCAAAGTTATAATTATGATCACAGTTATCTTTGAGCAGAAAGCTAGCAAGTAGCAAGAGATGAGTAAATCCTAATTGAGAATTCTTATTTCTTGTTCTGATGGTCATATCAGCACGAATTACAGAAGCATATGTGGTGGTGGTGTTGCTGTTTTTGCCATTTATGCTGGTATTGCTCAGATTGACCATGAAAATTCTTTTTGTGGATCACTTTCAATACAGATTTCAGTTAGATTTCTTACATACATATTTCTAACTAGACTGTATGAAGCAGTACAGATTTTTCATGTTTATTCTACAATTCTTTTGTGTAATGATAATTCTTTGTAGTCGTTATTCAGGAAAGTGTCTATTCATTTGTTATCCAGGATCATATGGAATACAAATCATTCATTTTGAGGTTGTTTCATTATTGTGTTTTCCTGGCTTTTAGTATCATAATAATTTCAATAGTAAATTTGCATGTATGGCATAGAAGCATGCTACTGCCAATATTTTCATTATTAGATTTTACAAACTGTCTAATCTTTATGTTAAGGAAAAGCTATCAACCTAGCTTTCTTAAATTTGACAGTAAAGCAGATTGGCAAAAATAATCCCTTTTACAAATAATGTCAATAATAACTAACCTAATTCGTTAAAGAGATGTGTAAATCCAAGTATAAAAAACCTAATATGGATTCTTATTTATTGTTCTAATGGTCACGTATGCACAAATTTCAGAAGCATGTACTTGGTGGACTTTAGGTGGTGTTACAGTTTTGTCCATCATTACTGGTGTTACTCAAATCAACCACAAAATCGTTACTGGTAAAGCAGATTGGCTATTGGACCTCAGAAGCAGATCCAAAAACACCAAATTACTGTAAGCCTTGATTTTAAAAATAGTGTCTTGAAGATTGGCCTTACAAATTAATTTACAACTCACAGAAACAGATGAGAAATATCCTGATGCACAGTTGATTTTTTTGTCATGTAATTTGAGACAATGCTATAGATAAATGTAAAATAAGTTGAGAAGAATAGAGCCACTGTACTACCATTCATTTTCTCAAAGTGTGTTTCTTCATTAATCGAAGGACACATTTAGTACACTATACAAGTACACCTTGAGGGTCACAAAATGTTTATTACTCAAGAGGGTAACAACAGCATGAAACCACATCTTCTCTTAGAGTTGAACAAATAAGAAAGAATGAGAAGCAAATACAGTTTAATCATGTTGCTTTCTCTACTCATGATTTATGCGCAGCAGATAGAAGCATACAAATGATTGAAACTAAAAAAAATAAAATCAGCAACAATGAGCCTGTAATTATGTATCGTGGCTCTAAAGTACATTGAATTTGAAAGGGACTAATAAGCAGGTGACTTCTTAGGGATGATCTGCTAACATGGGCTTCACAACCAAATTCATCAACCCAAGATCTTCCACCTTCATACTATACAGTCAAGTGCATTAGCAATGTTGAAGCCTTTTGTCTCCATGCTGAAGATGTAAGGCTTTTGGTTATTTTCAATTATATTCAAAAATTTCAGCTTGCTTTAAGAAAACATCATGCTTGATTCCCAAGGAAATAAGCTAGATATACTATTTTGGAAAACAATGGGAGATAATATTGATTATCCCATATCTCTAACACAATTACATGAATAAAGCAAGAATTTGCATCTCTGGAACAGGTTTATTGCTCTGGTTCACAGGTACTTTCTGTTGAATGACATTGGGCCTTTCTTTGGGCCCTTAAACAGAAGTGTTAAGAAACTGTGAATCCCATCTTTTAGTTTTACTTGTTTTTTGTGCTTTTATTATAAATGCAACATGTCAACTTTAACTCTTGTCGATTTACAGCTTAGATCATTAATATTTTTAATAATTAAATTGAACAAAAACGCTTGGTATAGTTGTTTAATATAAGATCAAAAGACCGATTATTGATGTTAAGAAAATTATACTTCTAGTGTCAGCTAAAAATATACCTTTAAAATCTGAATATTTGGTCAATTTAACAAAAGGATGACTTTCTTTAATCTCTAGTGAGAGTGTGAGACGATGTCCAACCTTGATCTTCCTACGAAAAAGGAAAATTCCCTGGATATCAGGATCTAGATTATCATAATAGTTCTTTTATATAAAAAAAAAAAAAAAAAAAAAAAAAAAGAAGATTATCATAATAGTGGAGGAAAAATCAACATTAGACTTTTTCATACATAATTATATCACCATACTTTTCACAACATCATATCGTTCTATCAAACTATGATGTCTCTAACAAATTATCAATTGAATAAATTATCTTTAAATAAATGAAAAGTCCACTTCAATCATGTAGAGGAAACACACGTAAATCATGCATATTAATTTGTATTTGTAATAATGAGACAATGCAAGGCCCTCATACAATCATACTTGATATCGAAAGGATGCTTTGAATTAGCTAGCTTTTTACCAAAAATATGGTGGGATAATTTCAATTACCAATCTGAATTATTTCCATCTAAGTTAATTTTTCTTTCTTTTTTCCTTCTTTAAAAAAAATTAAATAAAAAAAAGCGAAATATGGAATAAGAGTTTAGTACTTTAGTGTAATCATCGTGTTCATGAAGAGGAGATTTACACTTATAAGCTCAAAGGAGTAATCATAGTAAAATCAATTAGTGATTAATAAATTACGGAGTAATTTTTTTTTTTTCCCTAAAAAATATAAAATAAAAAAAACTCTATATTCTCTCCTTTTTTTATGATGTAGGACAAGTACAGTCATAATTCTCATAAATGACATAAAAATAAAGTTTTACTTGTACAACATCATCTTTTGGATTATACACTAATCACAACCATGCATAACATGTTAAATTGAGGTTTTGAAATCAAGTTAACGCTAAAATCATCATGTAAAAATATATAAACTCAATTAGTCAAATTAGTTAAAGTCATTTTTGTTTTGAGGAAAAATAAAAAGGTTTGTGATAGGAAGAGTAATGCAAAATAGAGAACTAAACTTAAACATCATTAATCCTTTTATGATTCTCCACATTGATTGATTAATTAAGGGCTTGTTTGGCATCGTTTTTTGTTTTCAGTTTTCAGATTTTTTTGAAAACAAAAAACCAAAAACAGGAAATAAGAAAAAGGTGTTTCCTCTTTTTAGTTGTCAGTTTTCAAAATTATCACGATCTTAATAAATTTGACTAATTTTTTATTCATTATATTACGTATATCAAATGATTTTGGAAAACAAAAAACTAAAAAACAAGAAACCACAGCAATGCCAAACGAACCCTAAGTGGTTAAATATGCTTCTCTCTCCTTTTTTTCTCTCCAAAACTCTAGCCTCCATTGTTGAATTTTGAAGGGACTTCGGAAAGCCCCAATCTTGTTTCTTTATTGTTTTTTTTTAGGTTTATAATAATGCTTCCTCCTTTTGGGAGGAACTTTTCTCCCTCGAAAGAAAGGATTCTGATCTCCTTCGAAAGCCAAGGGTTTTTCGACCTCCTTCGAAAGACAAGGTTTATCTCTTCTTTTTGAGGGAGAAATTTATTAATTTTGAATCCATGGTAACAGATCTAATGGATTGTCGTGAAATTATTTTGTTGGTGAAAAAGTTATCGAGTTTTCGAATACGAACAGATGAATCAGAAGGAAAACATCCTCACAGCTACAAAGAATCGTTAGATTGTCTCTCCAACAAGACTGTAATTTTCAGCGATATAAACGGGAGATGCTCCGCAGTGCAAGATCTACTCGACGATCGTAGTTTTTATGAAGGAAAATTCTATTTGATTCAATATCTTATGTATTTGTTAACGTCGAATCTCTATTGTAGATGTCGTATGACTTTTAATTAATGAAATATTTTTGCTAAAAAAAGGGGTTAAATATGAATAAATAAATTAAGGTGATGAACACACTCTAAAGTAAGAAGTATATAATAATAGGGGGGCATGAATATGCGTTGGTACCAAAAAAGTATACGTGTATCCAACACAAATTTTGGTGTGTTCACACAATTAGAGAGGGCATTTGGGAATATGACCAAGACCATCCAACCACTTATCAAAAATCATACAAGTCGGTCAAACACTACAAACAACACCCAAAAGACCAAGATTTCCATCTCGATCTTTTTTTTTTTTTTTTTTTACTCTAGAACCTTCCTTGCCCCCATAAAAGATCCCATACATACCAATAACATTTTATACGGAGTATTCCGTAGTCAACAACTCTAATATACAAATGGTCAACATATATTTTATATAAGACTATAAGTACGGTGTATAATTTTACCTCACCGCCTCTTACAGTTTGCAACCTTTAGAAATTTGATCATATTTTATGATTCGTACACATAAAAAAAAAAAAAAAAAAGTATAATAATTGAGTACCCTTTAAATTGTTTTTGATAAATATTCAAAATATTTGATTTTTATATTTCCTTTGTTGCTTTTATTGTTGTCTCATTTGTCTTTTAGGTGTTTTTAGCACAATTTTAATCATACACTCTCTGTTTTGTTTTACTTACAACTCACTTTACGATTACACAACTTGAGAAATATACAATTTATTTTTTTGAAAGTAATTGGATAAATTGATTAAAATAATTTATATCGTATCAACTTAATTCTCTCTTACTTTCAAAAAACACTTAACTCTCTCTTATTCTTCAAAAAAAAAAAAAAAAAAAAAACTTAACTCTCTCTTATAAATGTGGTGAAGTTTATTTTAAAAAATTTGTGTTTAATTAGCCTCTCAAATCTCTTCCATATGATGAATTGCAAGTAGAAATAAACTAAGGACTTGTTGCTTAATTTTAGTTCAGTTAAGTTCAATTCAAATCAGTTCCTAAT